TAAGATGATAGTATGGCCTGTACAGCTTTGGCATTAAATGCATTTATTCTAATACTTAGAAAACTGGTAATCAGTACATGGTAAATCCCAACGTTTAGTTTCTGACTACCCAATTCCAATGTATGTGTGTTGGGGGGAGGGTTCCAGGTTGTTACCTGTCCTCCTGGTAAGTAACAGAAGTTCTCAAGACAACCTTCCCCCTTTCACTTCCATTAATATACTAGAGCAGCTCATAGAACTCAGAGAATCATTTTGCTTAGTAGACGTCTGGTTTCTTATAAAAGCATACAACTCAGGTCCAAAGAGGTGAAGAGAGGCACAGAGCAAGGTATGGGGAAGGAGGCAGAGCTCCCACTCCCTTTCCACTCTCCCCAAATCTCCACATGTTTACCAACCAAGAAGCTTTTTCAAACCCAATCTTTTTGGGGTTTTTAAGGAGGTCTCATTACACTAGCATGACTGATTGGCCACTGGCCATTGGTCAATGAACTCAACCTCTGGGCTCTCTCCCCTCCCTGGAAATCGGGAGGTCGACTAAAAGTTCCAACTCTCTCATCACCCTGGTTTCCAAATATCATCTCATTAACAAGACACTCATTAATAAGGAATTTCAAGGGTTTTAGGAGCTCTGTGCCAGAAGATCAAATATAAGTATGTCTTGCTTTAAAAATCACAGTATCATACCCAATTACCTAGAACTCCTCATTCTTTAAACATTCTTCATAAAGAAGAATTTACTATAAATATCATTGTCTATAAGTAAAAGTTACTATTTATGTGAAACATAAAAGCTCTTCATTGAAAAATACTTATCAGTCACCTACTAAGTACCAGGCACTAAGCCAACTCTTCCTACTTCCTACCCCCAACAGCTTTCCAGTCAAGGGCAGCCTTTCTCGCTGGGAGCTCCAGTCTTCCTTGAAAAGAGATTAATTTATTACATACAATGGATGCGCTGGGGCATTAGGGCTTAAATCTCTCCCAATTGAGATAGACTGACCTAGTGTGACACACAAGTTAAAAGTAAATTATAATATGATTTTTTTTAAAAAAATTGCTTTTTAGTAGGGTGAAGTTCATCTGTTAAACCAAGATGCACAGACCATTTATTTCTAAGGTTTGTCTAAATGAAAAAATAGTAATTACAATGCACGTATTTAGATAAATTTCTACACATAATGAAATAAATTCATAAATAGTTTCCATGCTCAGCAATGTCAGCCCAAGGTTTTTAGTACAGTGAAAAAGAAAAAACAGTTTACCCTGGTAATTCAAGGAAGAAACCAAAAACCTTCTTGCTCCTGGGAAAAAAAAATTTACCTAAGTTACTTTATTAATTGCTTCAATATATTGCTTCACTAGACTGGCCTTGACTTGGCCTTAAAGTAATAAATTAGCTACTATTTTGTTCACTTTTGTCTTCAAGACAAAATATTGTCTTGAATATTTTGAATTTTCATTCTACTTTATGCAGTATAATATCTTTGTTTTTTTTCTATGTGCTATTATTACTGTATGTTGCATGCTTTATGGGACCAAAGCAGTTTAAGAACTCTTGGAATCAGAGATCTAACTTTCCCTCAGTATTTCACACTCACAATCTAAGCTTTCAGGTATACACCTAGAAATTCATACCATTTAATATCGCTATCTGACAAGCTAAATTTACAACATTCACATGGCCAAATCCCTGATCTACCTGATCAAGGAGTTTCTCACTTTGAATCATTAAGCATGAAATAAGTAAAAAAAAAAAAAAAGGGGGGGGTTTCTCATTTAGAGACTCATTAAAACTCTAAACCCATGTGAAACTACAGCTGTAATGACTACAAATTTTAAGAGTAAAAAATAAAATACCGGTTAACATAAAAGTCCCTGACCCTTACGCTCCAATCACCCCGATTTCCAATTACATGTACTTCTGAAGGAAATGAATTGTATAGATGAAGCCACTATTATTTATTTATTGTATTTATAGAAAATGGAGATACTCGCTGAGAACAGGCAGTGCTGTTATTCCACCCAAAGACATCCAACTCGAATCTTTTAAGACACCTCCTTCATACCTAGATCCTAAAATCCTGCACCAAATCCACCAATTTCTTTCTACCTTGAAACTGTCAAAAGTAAAGTCATAATTCATCAAAACGTAAAGACGACAATTATTAATGGCAAAGACGTCAAGGCCATGTCTTTAAAAAATACAATGAGTCACTATTTCTTTTAGCTTGAAATTGGAGAACCTGCGGGGGGTGGGGGGAAATGGTGTTCTTTTCTAAAAGAGATTCAGCAAACACCAACTGAGCCACAGAAGAAGCTGCTACTCCTAAAAGATACTCCCCCGTCCAGGTTTTAAATGTAAAACCCTCCTAACATGTAGGCTCCATTTTTTGGTGACCAACAACTATAATAAATACCACTGTAATTTATTTCACATTCAAAACCAATTTCAAGGGCCTCCCCGGTGGCACAGCGGGTTGAGCACAGCGCTGTGAAGCTGTCTGCAGCCTCCACAGCACAGGTTCGATTCCCGGCCAGCCAGGGAGAATCCCACATGGCGAGGCAGACCTCTCCTGTCTCGCCCGCTGCTTCGGTCCGTCTGCCTGTTCTGCTCCCTGCTCTGTCTCTGGTGAATCCTCTCACGCTCCCACAACTCTGGACTGTACCCCAGCTCTTGTATAAATAAAAATAAATCTTTGAAAAAAAAAACCTATGAAAAAAAACAAAACCAATTTCAAAGCACAGTTAATTGAAAAAAATTCATAACCCCATTTCTAATATGAAAGTAATCAAAAGAGAGCTTGGACTACAAAAGTTGGACTACATACATCTATATTGTTGGGCCAGTCTCAAGTCCAACCAAATCTGTGTATAGCCATCTAGTGATTTAAATAGGAGTACCCCTCAATCTCTGCCAAGTAAAAGATGAGGAGAGCGTGGAGACTCACTCCTCTACAGCAGATAAAATTTGGCTGTCCCCACCCCCCAAAGATTCTGAAGTCATTCTTTAGCAATGTATTCGATAGCCTTAGGCCTAAGGCTCAGATACAACTCCAGAGAACCTTCCAGCTTACTGCACTGGTCCAAATTCCCCAGACTTACCATAGTCATGATGGCGCAGGAAAATGTAAGCAGTTGGGCATTCCAGCCGAAACAATGAGGTCGAAGCTCATTTCAATGTGAGCTAAAGTGATTCTCTGCAGAGAGCTTGGTTGGGGAAGCTAAGAAGACTAGCTTCAAACCTGCAGGCTGGCACCTCAACAACTGCTGCAAATTCTACTGCATGCCCAGGCTGCCTGGGCCAGGGCTGCTTCATGACTGGCCTCTGGTACAATGCAGATCACTCTTAGCAAAGGAAAAGTGAAGGGAGGTTTTGGACCAATACTTGAATAGTTTGATTTGAAACGTTAAAACCCTTTAAAAAATGGGGTTGAATTTATTATGAAGCAGAGCCCAGTTGTTTTCCACCGTAAGAGTGACATGTGAAAAGATTACCTTTTCTCGAAGTAGCACAAATTGGCTCTTTGTCATCTTTCCCTTTTTGTCACTCCCAGACAACACTCAAAGATCACAGGAATCTATGTGACACAGAACTATTAAGTACAATAGTCTTTTACCTTCCCGGGTTAAATGTGAGAAAGCAATCTGAAGTCACTCGCTTCATTAAAGCCTCCAGTACAAGCCAATTCCTACAGATTTCAAGATACTTGATATGTACAACCTCCACTGCTCTGTGCCACAGGTAATCTGCTCCGATTTCTTAAGACATGTTTCATTTTGAGAAACACTGACATAGCGTTGTTGTGATGGTATCTTGAAAAGGGATGTCCAATTATTTCTTTTAGCCCGAGAACACCGGCGAAAGTTTCCAGCGCGGGGGGCGGGGGGAATGAGAGCCAATTCATCGGACGTACCAGACATGTTAGCAATGCTTGATTAGCAACAACTGCACGAAAAGAATCGAATCGCCAAGTTCTTGCTCGGATTCTAAGGGGGGAGGGGGAGGCGCACAGCACTCAACCTCATTCTTCCTAACGCTGGAACAATCAAAATTTACAGACGAACCCCTTCCTTCACATCGCGGGCAGAAATAAAATCCTATTCCCGCCAGCCCATCTTGCAATTAAGGAAGTTGCCACAAATACCCGCATGAAGTGCCGGGTCCCATCTAGGCGCCCTTCTCAACGGAGGGTCTTAGGAGTAAACAGGTTACTGGACAAGAGTCGGTGGCCACAGATCGCCTTTTCCTCCCACGGAGATCAAAATGCCCTTTCTGCGGGGTGGCATGGGGGTAAACCGGCCAAAGGGGCCGCCGCAGCCCGCCTTCCTCCGGGCTTCAAGGTCTGGGGCGCAGCGTTCTCGCCCAGGCTTCGGAGCCGGCGCGCCGCGGCCGCGCCGCCACCTCGCGTCTGCCCCGCCACCCAGCCCACCCTGACGATCGCCGGGCCGGCCTCAGCCCCCGAAGGTGAGCTTGTCCGGCGGGGGCTCCCAACTTTGGCCGGCGTCACTCCGCAGCTGCCGGCGCCCGCGCAGGCGGAGTCCCCCGAGCCTCGGGTCCCCCGCCCCGCGCCCCCGGGAGGTGTTCTGGGCCCCAGGGACAGGTCTGGGTTCACCTCCATGTGCTCGTGGCGGAGGAAACAAAAGAAAGCCGCCTCCCGGCAGATAACACGCCATCTTCGACTTAATTGGCCAAGCCTGGGACCCCCGGGTCGGACCCCCGCCGTCAGCCCGAGGGGCGCCCTCGTCCGAGGCGGAGTGGCCAACGGCCCCCGGCAGCTCCGCTTCAATTGTCCGGGGGGCGGCGGGCTGCTTCGGTCGCCCCGGAGCCCGACCTGCCCCTCACCCCCGTCCGCCTCGGCCACGGGTTTCAGGGAAAATTCAAACGGGGTGGCGGGGGTCTCACCGAGGTGCCATTATCCCCTCAGAAAATTGTGAGGGAGCGGGCGAAGCGGCCGGCGAGGCAGCCCCGCGGCGCGCGTGGAGCCGCAGAGGGTACTTACAAAACGGTTCAAGCTCCGGCGGAACATCGCGTCCGAGGCGCCGAGCGGGCTCGACCGGGCCGTCTGCGAAGGAGCCGTCCACAAAGCACACTGCGGCGTGGGCCGGCGGCGCGAAGCGGACGGCGCGGCAGGCTGCCTGCCCCAGCCCGCCGCCGCCCGCCGCCTGCCGGCCTGCCCTCGCCGGCGCTCCGCCGCGGCCCCGCCCCCCCCCCGCCTCGCCCCGCCCCCGCCTCGCCCCGCCCCGCCCCGCCCCGCCCCGCCGGCCCCGGGGGCGGCGACCCGCCGCTCTCCCTTATCTGACCCCAGCCCGCCGCCCGCAGGGGCAAGCGGGCGCGCGAGGGAACGTGAGGCCCCGCCCGCGGGGGGGCGCCCCACGCTCCCCGCCCGCGCCGGGCTGGGAAGCCCGCTATCTGCGATCTGCCCCGGCGTGGTGCCGCCGCCTCGGGCGCCCCGCGTGCTTCCGCCCCGCTCGGGGCACCCCGCGCCTGCCCTCTCCTCCGCCCGACTCCACTGCCCGGGCTCGGTCGGGAACCCCCGCGGCCCCGGCCCCAACTCTAAGCGCCGCCGCCCCGCGCCTTCGTCCCGCACCCGGGCTGGGGAGCCACGGTGCCGCCCGCTGGCCCGCCCCGAGCCCGCCAGGTAGCCCGGCTCCCCGCTTCCCGGCGGGAAGCGCCGGGCGGGCTCGGAGCGAGGACGAGCGGGGGCAGCGGAGACCCCAGCGCGGGCCGGGGGGCTCGCTCTGAAAGCCGCCCCCTGCTCCCCCGCAGAGGCGCGGGTCTCCCGCCACCCTGCTCTCGCCGCGCTCCCACCTACGCGGCCCCTGCTGCCGCTGCCTCGCGTCCTGCCTCCCCACCTCAGCCGTCTCACTTCCACTTTCTCTAGGAGGTTGTAAAGTCGGGCTTTGTGTGGCTGCTGCGCAGCGGGGCGGGATTTCCCTGCACCCCCTCCCGGAGCCCCGCCCCGCCCCGCCCCTCCGGGGCAGCCTGGGAATTGTAGTCCGGCCGGGCCCCTGCGCCGCTTGCTACCGCGGGCTGGGAGCTCCCCCACTCGCCCAGACGGAGTTTGCCCGGCGGGTAGAAGGAGGAAGCGGCTCAGATCGCTGGGCCCAAGCGCGGTTCTCAGCCGCTGCGGGCAGGGGAGGCCCGCAGCGCTGGGTAGCTTCCCCGCCGTGGGAAACGGGAGAAACAGACCTGAGGCAAAGCCCCGAAAGCCAGCAACCTGCCCCAGGGCGTGAGACCTGCGCTGTGCCCGGAGAAACCCTGGACACCCTCGGCGCCTAGTTCAGAACAGGGGTTTGCGGAACTTGGCAAATTAAAAATGCAGTCCGAGTCTCGAGTGGTCACGACACCGGGCATCCCAATCCCACCTCAGCCCGTTCACACTGCCCTTTCCCGCTGGATCCCCAGGCTGTTGGAGAAGAACTTTCCGAACCTTCTATACAAATCAAGACGACCTAAGTAAAAGGCAGACAGGAGCACTTGCAGGAGCCTTGAGCCACATTCTCCTGCCAGTCCAGAGCTGAGCACCGGGTGCAGCTGCACCACGGGCCTCCGCTGGGCGGTGAAGGTAGAGAAGGTTCTTTTCTCCTCCAGGATCTACATTGATACCAACACCCGTTCACTGGGCGTTTTCATTGGGCCAACATTGTGCTGGGAGCTGCACAAGGCGACTTCTTTAAATCCCTCCCCAACAGGGTAGTCGCCATCGAATTGGGGGGCACACACCAGCTAAAACAACACGTCGAAAGACATTGACAGAGAAGAGATGTGGTGTTGATGGACATGGGAGAGAGTTACGGTGCCCCTGAAAGGGGAGTCTGGGATGCTTTCCTGGAAGCACTGGAGATTAAATTGGACCCTAAAATATGGGAAGTTACACTAGGCACCGAAGAAGACCAGCCAGCAAAGTCCAGGGTGGAGGGAAAGGTCGGTGAGAAAGGGCAAGACAAGCTAAGAAAAAGAACACACCACCCTATTTTTGGCAGCTGCCCCAGGTGGGGGCGGTCCGAATGAACCCTAAAACCCAAAAGGCTCTTCAGAAACACCCAATGAAATGTGAACTGGATTCTGTGAGCAAAGAGCAGCCCAAGCTGTACTAATTGCCAAGAAGTGAAACCAACCAGGCATCCGTTCCAACACTTGCCTTATTGTGGTTCTTTCTGTTCCAAGGATTCGGTTTTTGTTTTGTTTTTTTTTTTTTTTAATTTCCCTCCCCCCATACATCTAAGGATTCTTAAGATTTATGTTAAATGTATGTTAATCAGATATGGTATATGATTTCATTGGCAAAATGGATCTAACGATTTGCTCTCTACGATTTCAAAGATTTATTTTCAGAGTTTCTTTTCTGGCTTTACTTTCATTGACCACAGCAACGATTTTACTATCATTCACTAATCATTTATTCAACATGCACTAAGTAGCAGCACTATCCTAGATACTGGTAACAGAAAATGAATTTACACCTTTGGGGATACAAGTGTTTGCTAGGAAATAATATCTTTATGAAACAAATGGAGGGGGAAGTACTTTGCTTATGGATTCAAATAGATCAACTTCAGAAAATGAGAGACCTGGAAATTATTTTGCAGTGTTCTCTTACATGTTGTTGTGTATTAACTCCCATGTGATCCCCATGTTGCCCAGCTTAAAAGCAGGGAGTTTAGGATCCTCCGAGGTAGAGCAGTATTGTTGGTCCTGTTAATGTTTGTTATTATAATCCCACTATCCCCATGTCCTCTTAATTTATTTCATCACAACCCCTATCTTCATGGGCCCAGACTCATTTGCTTGGCTATAGCAATGCAATTCCACATAAATCAAACTATGCTCAAGCAAAACAATGCAATATATGCAAGGTGATTTTTTTTCCCCATCTCCAAATGCAACCTGAAATTACAGCCACTCACACATATCCCCTAGAGTTACTTTCCTTTGTGAGTTTTTTTTTAAGTCAAAAAGAAATTATTTTTGTTCTTTTCAGTGCCTCTTCACAGTTTCCAAAGAAAACTCAGGTGTTGTAGAAAAGCTGTTGCCAATGACTATGAAAAGCAGACGATCAGCCGGAATTTTCATTTGGCCAACTCCATAAACAGAACTGCAAACAACGAACTTCCTCCTGTCTAATTGTCAGAACCCGTGGTATATAACACCAACTCTTGTGGTGTATCAGCTGACTGCTTCGGAGGCCCCTTCTCCTGCAGGCAGGAATTCAGATGTCCAGATTCCTATCTGGACTAGATGTAATGCTTAATATCACAGAGAGGGAAGGGAAAGTGTTCTTTTCTTAAGTGTGTCAGTTCCACTGCCCCTATTTCTGTGCCAGCAACTAGAAGCCCTTCTCCATTGTCCCCTCGCTCTTTCCAACTTTCCCCCTCAGCCCCTCAGACATCTCACCATGGCAGATAGACAGGGCTGCAAGGACCCTGGATGCAGTACCCACTTGGGAAGAAGAGCAAAGTGTTCTGGAATCTGTCAACTGGTCAGCTATTCAGGATCCAACAGGAAGGGAATGGTGAAAAGGAGTCACTTCCTCCATTTAATTACTAAAAAAAGAAAAAGAAAAAGAAGAACAATTGAAGCTGTTATATCAGCATCTAAATCACTGCCATCAGCAAGTTGAAGAAATTCAGCTGTCTCTGCTGAGCTTTCAAACACACCTCTGAAGACTGTTTTTTGCCCAGTTGAAATTTCTTCCTTCCAAGACTGGCCTTCATGTATATTTAAGACCCACTTTACCCATATCTTCCGAACTGTTGGCTCACTCCATTTCACTCTCCACACTGAAGCCACAGAAATCTTTGGAAGACAAGTCAGATCCTATCACTCCCCTCCTTATGACTTTTCAGTAGCTTCTTATTGCTCGTAGGGAATGTCCTATATCTTGACTTAACATCATCTACAAGGCCCTGCCTTCTTCTCCAGTCATGGGTGGAACAACTCTCCCTCTCACTCACCAAGCTTCAGCCTAGTCTCCACTCTTCAACCCTTGAGTTCCCAAAGATCCTCCCCTGACATCACAGGCAACCATCCCTGATGGAATGTTTTTCTGGACTTCAGGTCTCAGCCGAAACGTCACTTTCTCAAATGACTTCATGGGTCCCTGTTACAGTGCTCCAAAGAGCCATGTTAGTCGTATCCACATGCTAATAATTGAGGTTAGTAATCATGAAGAACAGCAGAACTCAAAAGGGACTGTGGATGATCTCATACTGTTATGCTTTTCAAAAAGGCCATGTAGGGCCTCCCCTAGTGGCGCAGGCAGTTGAGCGCAGCGCTGGGAAGCTGTCCGCAGCATCTGCAGTGCGAGTTCGATCCCCGCCGGCTAGTGAGGGTCCCACATGGCGAAGCAGACCTCTCCTGTCGTGCCCGCTGCTCCCCTCAGCAGTGTATTTCATCAGTCTGCCTGTTCTGTTTCCCGCTCTGTCTCTGGTGAATCCTCTCACCCTCCGGCGCCTCTGGCCTGTACCCCAGCTATTGTATAAATTAAAAAAAAAGAGAGAGAAAAGGGCATGAAGGTATATTCTAATAACCTGGTATTCCTGATATCAAGGTGTGCAAGGTTCTAGAACCCATTATTAAAAGGATAGGGTTTTTTTCTCACAGTGGAAAGGAAGAGACAATCACTAGGAACCACATTGAGTTCACTGAGATATAGTTTGTCTTTCACATTCTGAGAAAATGATTTCTAGATCTGAATTCTACTTCCTCCCAAATTATATCAGGAGGCTAGACACAGGAGAGGCTGGAGAAGATATAGTAGAAGACTAAATATTATCCATAATAAGAAGTCATTAAGTCAAACTATATCAATGAATATCATTTTATTGTTTAGAAATAGAGAGGTAAATACCAGAAGAAACAGCTAAAATAATAAAAAGTTCTTGCCTCCTGGAGCATATATTGACAATAGGAAAGGATGGGATAAGGACTTCTTTTTCCCTTTGTAAGTCTTACAACTATCTTAAACTATGTACATGCATTATTTTCATAAAAATAAAATTTGGTTTGAAAATATAAATACTATTTGGACACACAGACAGGAAGTAGAATAACATTCTAACCAAGAGATGGCGAAGATGTGGAGGTGAAACTATTCCAGTGATTGATAAACAAAT